AGCCCTAAACCCATAATCCACTACAACCCCTTACTAGACCCTAAGCCCCGAAGCCCTATACCCCTGAAGCCCTAAACACTCAAAGGCTCCCGGAGTCCTGCCTCGGAGGGGGGGGTTGGAGCCGCGTGAGATTTTGCCTTTGCAGTGTCCTGTCATCAGTCAGGGATATATAGATCTATAGGGTTTAGTTTAGGGTTTAGGGTCTACTTGGAGGATCAGGGGACTTGGTAAGTCAGGTTATAAGTCCTTTAATTGGTGTTATAAGTAACTATAAGTATAGTTACCTTATTCATAACCTTGGTTACTATGTCCCATGATCCTTTAAGTAGGCTTTAGCCTAAAGGTTTCGGGGTTGAGAGTTAAGGGTTTAGGTTGGTTGGTTGGTTTAGGGTTTAGGGCTTTGGGTTTAGGATGTAGGGTTTGGGGTCTAGGATTTCGTGTTTCACGTTCACTCTCCTTGATTAGGAACTTGCTTACAGCGACTTGCTTCTATGATTCAAGGTAAACTTCCGAAATAATTCAGGGTACCCGAAACCTACATAACCCGAAACACTGAACTTCCCTTCAAACAGATACCACAGGGGGGCTTGATTTGATAGCAGGGATAGGAATCCTGGGTGATATTGTATCACTGTATGAGGTTATTCAGGAAGCGTGAAGGAAGACTTTGGTACCTATTCACGATCCTACCAGAAACCCCAATACCCCGCAACTAAGGAATAACGTACTCTTCATGTAGAGGTCCGAGAAGATGGTGGTACTATGCTTGGGCTTCTTTTTGAATATCTACTATACCGCTGAAGCCTACGCTACACCCCAAACCCCGAAACCATAAACTCCTAAACCCTAATCACGATGAAACTCTTTGCTGTAAAAAGTAAAAAGCAGCTTTTCAGTACGTGTGGCTCAAGCATGCCCTGATCAAGTCAAGCCGGACACCACCTACGCTGAACCCTAAACCCAAACTCAAGGGTTTATGGGTTTAGGGTGTCCAGGCAAGAACCAAGGCGTGAAGCACGACCAACCCTCAATCAGGAAGTACTGGCTGGATAACTAGCCCTAAAACCCCTAAACACCAAAGAGCTAAACTTAATGCGAAACCCTACACCCTGAAGCCCCAAAACTCCAAAAGGCTAAACTTTGATGCGAAACCCCAAAGCCCCGAAGGGCTAAACCTTCCATCCGAACACCGTGCACCCCTAACCCCAAAGCTCCGAAGGGCAAGGCTTTCATCCGAACACCCTGGGCCCCAAAGCCCAAAGAGCTAAACTTTAACCCGAAGCTCAGTAGAGTCGAATCGGCTCAGGTGTCAGAACCTTGGGGGTACTTAATAAGTAATTGTATGAGTACCTCAAATCGGGGTTATAAGTAAACATAAGACCCTGGTTACTAATTCCCATGACCCTTTAAGCAGGGCCTTCAGCATCGTCCTATGGTCTTTCGAAGGCGGCGGGAACGGCGCTTTCTTCGCGATTGGACCTCATCTAGGGTTGGGGTTTAGGGTTTGGGGTTTCGGAGGCTTAGTTGCAAGGCTCCCTCATGGCAACAATACCCCAGGCTGCTTCTAAATCAGCCATACATAAGTTTAACCCGAACCCAAAGATTATGATTGCATATTATGGCATAGTATGGTGCTTGCATGGTGTCTGTACATGTATATATACATATATGTATGTATGCATTTATATATATATATATATATACATATGTATATATATATATACATATATGTACAGCATTGTGCCAGTGGCTCTCGGATCCACCGAGCAGTGACAACCCAAAACGGATGCCGCTTCAATATCTGTCTGTATATCTAAAACAGCTATATACTTATATATGATTGATGTTTGCATCTAATAATGTGTGTGTGCTGTAATGTTTGTAATTGCCCCTTCTGGCAAAGTCCTACAGGACACCTCCCCGAGCCCTATTCTAGTTATGATGGCCTGTATGCGAAACCCTCCGACGAAAGCAACACCTGTTCTAAGTACTATGTTCCTGCCCATGCAGTCCAGCGACGGACTTTGTTAGGCTTGCTCGCCGGAACACCCATGCCTGCATTTTTTGCGGTTTATCCGGGGTTTAGGGCTTGAAGCGTTTATGGATCAGGTGTGTAATAGGAAGGGCCGAACAACATGCACATAAGCAAAACATAGTATGTATATGGATATCCAAAATAGACGCCCTCATAAGGAAGCCCAAAATGTAAGATTGTAGACGCCACCTAATTCCAGGCGACATCTCGCAGCATCGTTTCCAAGCATCGCGCCCTATACATCACAAACTTTCAGTCTGCTACTGTTAGGGTTTAGTGGTTAGGGTTTAGGTTAAGATTTAGGGCTTGTAGGGTTTAGGGCCGGGGTTAAGAAGGACTAACATCGCAATTTCGACTTCTTGGCATTTCGGTCTCTCAAGGCTTCCCAAGGACGTGGGCTCAGGGCGACAGGATTCAAGGTTTATGCTTGGAGGCGCAGGGGACTTAGTCTGGGTTCTTAAAGGGCTCCTCAAAGGGATCTATAGGGCTCCTTAAAGGGATCTATGGGGTTTAGGGCTTAGTGCCTACTTGGAGGGGCAGGGGACTTAGTAAGTCGTTTATAAGTAGGGTTATAATTGGGGTAACTCCATTTAGGGTACTTATAACTCCACTTATAACCTACTTACTAAGTCCCTAAACCCTAAACCCCATAGATCCCTTTAAGGAACCCTATAGATCCCTTTAAGGATCCCTTTAAGGAGCCCTTACTAAGTCCCCTGCCCCTCCAAGTCGGGTCCATGTCTTCGGCTTAAGGGCCCTTAAGAGCCCATCGGGTTGAATCTACCTGTGGCCAAAAGAAGCGACCACGTTGAGGAGTTCTAAAAGGGAGCCATAATGAGGAACGGCAGTCCCTGACCCGGACCCCAAGGGTCCATGTACCCAAATAGTATATACATTGGCATTAAAGTAGTCCCGATTGGCTACGTGGACCCTTAGGGGATAAATCACAAGGCTAAAAGCCTGGACTTGTGTACGCACTAGGGCTCTCTGGGTGTTGATATCTCAAGAGGGGTCGGATTACCTAGTGACCTAGTATTACTGTACCTCAGGTTCCTGAATGTAGTGATGCTACAATACTATGTACCTCCAAGCCCTAAACCTATAGCGCTATACAATATACCCCAAAAACCTAAACCTGAAAACCCCCCTGCAGGAATAGCTGTTACTGATTATCCACACTCCACACTCTTTTAAAAGTTTTACCCTTTTAGAGCTGGCAAAGCCACTGAACCTGAAACCTAAACCCTGAATTCTACGCCCTTAAACCTTCGGTTTGCTGCGGACCCTTCTTGGTCCAAGACCTTACCCAAGACGTCCTAGGTACTGCTTTGGGGGGAAATCTGCCCAAATCACAATAGAAATTCCTACGACTACATACCATATGGGTTGTTGTCAAAATTAGGGTCCCTTTTACCGAATATTTAAGGTACCCAAAAAGGACCATCATTTTGACTACCCCTCCCATATAGGTACCAGGCTCCCTCTGGGTTACTACAGGGGCCTCAACAGTTCTCACAGGGTTTAGGAGTAGTAGGATTATTTATACAAGGACTGAGGGGAACATGATTCATTACTGATTGTTCAACCTCAAAACTTCATATCTAGAGGGCTTAACGCTGTATAAAGAATATTCTTTACTCTAAGGGTATTGGGTTCTCTGGGTAATGATATCCCCTTGCAGTCTCTATTGTGTCGTCCTCAAACAATATTCCCGCCAGTACAGTATGGCACCTGCCAAACCATACAAAAACCCCAAGAGGACCCTATGCCAATGCCCGAAGCCCCCGAACCCACAGTGCCTTCATCCATGCTGCCCAGTGGTGGCCTGGCTCACACGGGAGTGAACAAAAAAAACGAGCGTTTGTGCGCCTTAATATAGCTATTATATACCCATTATATAGCCCATTATAGGGTAGGTATAGTGTGTGGGATGTTCGGGCTTTAGGGTTTGGCACTTGGCTGGGTTTAGGTTTTAGGGTTTTTGGCTTGGAACCTTTCACCTTGCGTGATGCACCCTGGACCCTTGCCCGAAGCCCTAAACATCACAAAAGCTTATGGGAGTTCCCGAAAATAGAAGGGGACCCTAATACAGTACCCTAAAAGGTAGGATCCTTCTTCTGAAAACCACAAAATAAGGTGCCCCCCAATTTTCGGAAACTCTAAACTCTCAACCCTTTGTAGAACCCTTGTAGATCCCTTGAAGGAACCCTTTACATGTCCCCGTAATTTTCGGCAACTCCTTTCCCAAAGGCTCCATGTATCTTTATAGTAGATACTTAGGCCTTAAAGGGGTCCCTATATAGGTACTTTAAGGCCTACCTGGATCCTTTTCCGGTGTCCATTTTTCGGGTGCGCCTGATTATTAGGATAAAGTGTGGGGTTTGAGGTAAACGCCTGATAATTGTGAGAATGACAATGATGAAAGGGTCAGGCTTCTGATCAAAGTCCATCGCTGCAGCTTTGGCTGCAGCTTTGTTCGATGTCGTCGCAAAGATCTTCCTCGCCGGCCAGTCCGGCTTGATTTGCATCAGAGCATCAGATCATCGAAGGAGAAGTGTGTGGAGTTTTAGGTACTGCCGCAAGAGATTCACCCTGATCGTATATAAACTATGTATGGACCCACCCCAGCGGCCGCCAGGTGCGACCCCCTGCCGCTGTGATCGGCGATGCCCAGCTCCTGCAGAGGCCGCGGGCAAGGGTAGGTGCACGGAGTTGTTAGTTATGCGCAAACATGTAGAAGTGTGTGTGTGTGTGTGCGTGTGCGTGTCAACAAAAGTATATGAGGTTTGCATGCTGTTTTTGGCGACTTCATAAATGTATAGCGTATCATTGTGCTTCGAAGATTCATGTGAGGGTGCTCACAGTGTCACACAGCGGTCTTATCACGGATCGATCTTGTATGCCCTGCAGCAATTTATGCAGTCGATTGTTGTTGCGAAAGCTCGACCGGGTCGCTTGCGCGACTATGGGGAAAAAATCCTTTGATGATGGGCCGGCCGTGACCTTGCAACAGGCAACCAAGATGCCCTGCCCATGGTCGGGCATGGATGTGGTCAAAGACAGGTTGGTAAAGAACCAACGACTGCTCGAAGGAATCGAGAAGTCTCCAACCAAGGATGTTCATCCCAGTTTGAAGAACATCGAGAAGAACGCCGCAATCCTCCGGCCATTGGTGGAGCAGATGAAAAGCATGAAGCGAATGAGCGCTTGGCCCATCGAGGTATATGGGGTGCTTTGCGTTGCATTTTACGAAGGGCACAAAGAGTGCTACATCGGACGCCCTGGCAACGAGGGTTTCAATCCGGAGTCATGGGGATTCCAGCAGGCTTGGACGATGCATAAGATGATCTCTGCATTGAGAACGAAAGCACAGCGGGACGAGATGCCCCGTGAGCTTCGTCTAGGGTTCGCAAATATGTTGTTCCTGTTTACGGATTTTGAGGATTTCAATATAGCACACTTATAGAAGCGTATTGGGGGCATCGTTGAGCCGAGGACGCGGCAGCAGCGGAGCTGGTGAGCTTGCTGCGTGATGCCAAGAGGCTTCGTTTGGAGGAGCTCACATGAAAGCATCCGTTTTCCCATGCATGTTACAAGTCCACCTTCTATTAACATGCATGGTTTACCCCAAGCTTACGCACATGGTCACATCGCTCCTTCATACAAAGCGTGTGTATACCATATGTATATATATATATATACATATGCACATACAATGCAGGACCAAACTAAACACTCTTTTAAAAGAGCGCCTGTGCATCCTGTGCGTGCAGGAGCTTCAAATCCAGAACCAGCTCACCTACCCGAATCCGCCTGAAGGCCCGGAGTATGCTGATGAGGACGAGTGCTGCGAGGATGATGATGATGACGAGGTCTGCAACGACCCGCCTGATGATGTGTTTGAAGCATATGGGCTTCTGGGTGACACTTTGGTTGAAGCTTGGAACAGTTCGTGGAATTTTGAAGTTTGCGGGTTTGTTTGGCGGAGACGCCGTCAGGTTTCGGTGTGCCCCATATACATGCAGTAGTCGTTTGACATAGGCCCCCGTTTTACTTCGTGATGGCCGAGGACGGGGTGCCTGGTGTGCTGGACGATGCTGCTGGTGGCCATTCCGAGAAGGAGACGGGCCCCCCGGTGAGGGTGGAGGCCTCGGCTGCTGGACGTGAGGATGTTGAGGTGATCCCTGATTCACCGGACCCAGCAACGGCATCCTCAAAACGGCTCAAGACCCATCTCCTTGAGGGCCTGCGACCGCATATGCTGCAGATGCTGCTGGAGTCCGCTGAGCAGAAGATGGCCACTGCTTCGACTTACGCTCCTTCCGCTGGCAGCAGGTCGAGTGAGGGTAGCAGCGGGTTGACGGATGTTGAGATGCTCCGGTCAACCTTGTCGTGGCCTTACTGGGGGCACAGGTGCAGTCGGATTCAAGAGGAATGTTGTGAGCATCCAGTGCTGATGATGTTTCGAAGAGAGCTTACCAGTGCACGTAGCTCATGGTGGATGTCTCGTTATGGTTCTGTTATGTTGGTTTCCCAGACTTCTTCTTCGAATCATATATAATCGTCAGTGTCATGTATGTAGCTGTCTAAATACATACAGTCAGATCGTACGTCTGTCTACATGTATCTATGTATATCTCCCTCGAATCCATGTATATATATATATATGTACTATATATCGGTATATACAACGTACATCTATGTATCTGTCCTTCTTTCTTACAAAAGTATATGAATGAAACGAGAACTCGGCACACGAAGATTGTGGTGCATCCGGCCCATGTGTTTATATGCATATACACAATCGTGTAGGACTGTTGTAAGGTTATATAGGAGTATGTAGATAGATGAGTGTGTGTATATATGTACATCTCTGTGTCTGTCTATCTGTCTGTCATGCCTGTCTGTCCGTCTGTCTGTCTGTATGTATGTATGTATGCATGTATATATGTATGTATATATATATATACAAGTGTGTGTAAGCACCCCGAATCTGCACATAGATATTTCCCATATATGTATATATGTAAACACCCGGTAGTTTTTTTGGCTGTATATAAACCAAATTCCTGTGCTGCCTTCTCAGGGAGCGCAGAACAAGCACATCCAGTCTCGAAGCCGCCGTGTCGGTGGATCTAGGCCAGCGTGCTGGATACTGTTCATGCATACGAGTGGAAGCGTCTACATAGATACGTATGTGCTTGCAACTGCTGTTCAGACTATCGGCTGTCGATCTGCTGCATGTTTCGTTTATCGCATATATACGTGTTGCAGGGCTTGATGTAAAAGGATGTTATATAATTGAGCATGGGTTTGGCTTCAAGAGTTTTGCTGCAGCAAGTGTGCTTTAGGTTTGCGCGAATTGTGTCTGTAACTTATAACTGTGGATATCGTAAATTCCACCACGTATATCGTTCTGTTCTGTGGAGGCTCGCCAGTTCAGCTGGACTGCCCTATGGTGGGGAACACACCTTCTCCGGCCCTGCTCAAAGATCTCAAAGGAAGTGTGAATGCGGGAGCAGCCGATGCAAGCAACGAGGACACGTTGCCGGCAAGCTTCGAGGAGATGGAAGCAGTGGCTGCAGCAGTGTCTGGGGCGCTGCATCGCAATCCTGCTTTGAAGCGGAATGTGTGGGGGGATGGTGTTGAGCTTGAGGAGCCGGCAAGTCGCCGGCACTTCCCCACGGAAGAAGCAAAAGCTCCAGATAGCCCTTTCCCCTTGGCCAGGCGCACACCTGAAGCTTTGGAAAGCCCTTTCCCCCTGGCCCAGCGTACCCCACCTGAAGCTTTGGAAAGCCCATGCCGGCTTCCCGCGGACCCGGGCTCCCCGTCGGGTGACACACCGATGCCAACCGTCAGTCCTTTGGAGGTGATCGCTTGCATTTAGACGGTTTTGTGTGTGTGTGTGTGGCAATTGCGTGCTCAGCCCCCAGTCAGGCTGTCGTGTCCAAGGACGATCAGATGCGAAGCCTCGAGCAAGCCCGCCAAGCTAAAGCTGAGCGTGGCAGAGGCGGCAGAGGTGGCAGAGGTGGCAGAGGTGGTAAAGGCAGCAACAAAGGCCGTGGTAGAGCCGTGCAGGCAGACAAGGGTGCAAGCGCAGATGGGCGAGGTCGCAGCACAGGCCGTGGTGCAGGCCGCGGTGGAGGCCGCGGTGGGGGCCATGGCGGCAAGGGCCGTGGCAAGAATACGAAGGGCGGCCAAATGTCGCCAGAGCGGGATGGGAAGCGTTGATGAGGCTGTCGATGTGCCGCCTGCCCCGGTGAAGGTGAAGAGCAAAGGGACCAAGGATGGCAACTCTAAGACGGCCCAGCCCAAAGTGGAGGCCAAATCCAAGGCTAAGTCGAAGGCTAAAGCCAAGGCCAAGACGCAGGCGAAGCGCGGATTGGAGCCATCGATGGAGCCTTCGACCGAGAAGCTGGACGATGAGGAGAGGCCTGAGAGTGTTCACTCTCCGATCCGCCCCAGGACCCTTTTCAAGGGCTGCAGCCCTAGCAAGCCTATCTTCAACACGCCAGCGAGACGTGTCAAGAAGGATGATCGCAATGCCAAGGGCCGAGGTAAGGGTAAGAAAGGTAAGGCTGCGAACTCGAAGCCTTCCCAGCCCTTTGCTTCCGAGTACCTGCGCCAGAACCTAGACACGCTTCCGAACTCCTTCGCCCGCAGACCGATTCCGAGTGGTGTGCCAGCGTTGGAGCGTTATTGCCGGATGGTGAGGTCTTTCCAGGAACAAGTGGAGAAGGAGCTAGAGCCGGGAATGAAGTGCAAGGCTGAGGTGGGGTTTTCGTATATAGTGCATGAACAGTATATGCAAAAATAGCATAAGCAAGGTGTGTGATTCGAAATAAGATTCTTGTATATATAGTATCAAGTTAGATCGTTCTAGGGATTCGTTATGCGAATGTATACATGGGCACATTAATTTTATCTATGGCTGACTATCCGCACATGTACATTTCATTGTTGTGCGATGTGTGTATAATAGATATCATATATACATACTACAACCATGCTGGCTTTATACTGCTATATACATGTATATTATAGATGTGCTGTGCATGACACTCTGTGTATATATATGTATATATATACACATAACACATTCACACGGCTATGTAAACAATACAAGCATAGTGCGGGTTAAACTCCACAGATGCCCGCTCCACCCTGTGCCAGTACGATTTCTGGAACATGGTCACCGAGTTCAAAGGCTCCCACCCCCCGATCGACTCCGACGATTACCGCTACATCGAGCAAGCGACCATAGCTTTCTTGAAGCCCTTTGGACACCTGTGTACGGTACCAGTTTTTTCGTCTGATGTATGAGTATAATTCCGTGTATGTGAAATCAACCTATACATCATCCTATCGCTAGTCTAAGGAAGGTGCGAGATGTTTGCAACGAGAACCTCGGCTGATGGCACACGACATCATTGAGTGATCCCATGTGGCTGGCGGGTGAGAAACGCAGCGCGGTGAGAGTAGGCTGGTTTCACGTCTCACGAGGAACATAGGGCCCTTTTGTCGCCGGTGTGATAGGCTCATCTTGTGGAGTGGTGCTGGGTGGCAGTCTGGTAAAGCTGTGCTGTTATGCAATCGCACGATTGGTGCATAGACTCGTTTAAGCATGCAGGGTCTACTTGTTTGCCATAAGCAGCTTTACGAAGTCGGCTGAGACTCAGGGTGCCGTGCACCACTCTAATTTTGGCTGCCACTTCTTACGATGCTGGGTGAACCTAGCGACGATTCTACGATAAACCTTCGCCGAAGCATTCTTGGAGCGATGCTGCTGAACATGAAAATCAATGGCCTTCTCTTCTCCATGTCAGTGAGATGTGCAGTGTGCCGGTGTGACTGAACTTCAGCAGCTGCCCTGATGTGTCCAGCCACTGTATTGTAAAAGCTATAATTGTAACCCCCTTGACCCTCAACCGAGACCCCGCTCCGTCGTGCAGGTCTCGATGCTTCGCGGTCGCCGTCGTGATGCCAAACTCGGCTTGCATGTTCCTGCCACTCGCTTCGCTGGCATGTGTTGTGTGAAAGGGTTTCAGCTGTTGTGTTTTCGAATACCTGTATAATAATAAAGGCTAGGCTGCGTAGCTTCCATCACCTCCCACAAAGACTGGTTCCAATCTAGAGATGTATCTGGGTCGTGTATATACACAGAAGCAATTTCTAATTTGTTGTATGGTATTGTAACATATGCACCCGAAGCCGTGGAGCAATCCCTTAGACTCCTGACAAGTGCACTCTGTATAGTTTATGATCCGGGTTCGTGGTTCCTATCTTCTATACACAATTAGTAGTAATGGCATTCTGGTTTCTATTGATGGCAGTCAAGCTTAGCTTGTTTGGTTGTCTATTTTGGTGTACAAGGGTACACCGCAATCAAACCATCATCAAGGTTCTAGGCATATGTATGTACATATATACACATGTATACTGTCGTTTTTCAATACGCAGTTCGATAGACAGGTCGACGGGTAGATAGATAGGTAAGTGAGTACAAGGGTAGGTTGGTAGCTACAAGGGTTGTGCTAGGACTGATATCAATAAGTACACAGGTAGGAAGGTACATGGGTAGATATGCTTACGAGGCAGATCGGTATAGCTATAGGCAGGTGTTGTAGCCTGTCATAGCACCCTCCGGAACCCTCCCAAGTGTCAACATCGTACACCAAGTACTAATGCATCGAAGTCTATAGTTGAGTAAGACTCTTGTCCATGCAGCCTGCAGTTTCGTTCGAGCTGTAAAATAGACGAAGATTCTGCAGGTACTACTGGCTCTATAAACCTTGAAGCATCATCGGTCTCCGGATCTTGACAACTCCATGTAGTCCGACCGCAGGCCTATACTAAGTCATTCGGGGTGCTGGAGGCGATCCATCTGGTTGCTTGTTCAGGCTGCCAGACCTAGCATCTTGCATCAAGTAGGTTTCGTGTGCGATGACAAATATCATACTGATAGTTCGCTCGTGCCGTGCCGGTCATGGCCTTGACGGAAGCAAAGATTCTGCATCGTCTCAAGGCAGCTGGTGCTCCGAAGGTGCCGCATGTGGGTCCGTAGCAGCTTACGTCGTGCCCTCATAATTATGAGCAGTGCAAGTAACATAAAAAGGCTTGCCATAAGCACTCATCATCAGAATCATACAAATGAGCCCATATTGGTACTACCCACAGCCATTCCACCAGAGTGCCCACCATCATAGCATTACCGTCACCATGACCAACATCATGACTACTAAGATTATCACAGCAACCAGCAGCATCACCGGCATCATAGCCACCGCAATGATCTTCCTTAACCCCGTTGACGACCATGGCTAGTACATCAGCATGATCGACCATGTAGGCAGCAACAGCAAGATTGTGGGGATGCGAAATATAGGCAAGGCACCGTGCTCTGGCGATGCATGTGATGATGGAGATGGTGGTAAGGACTATGGTGATGGAGGGTGGGGGCTAATGGTTACATTCACTATGGTGACGGATATGCGGTAGTTGTGATAATGATCAGGACGATGATGCGGGTGGTGCCATGGTGTGGACGAACGATGCTTCTACAGTCTGGGTTCAGTTCTCTTAGGCAGTATAGTTTATCCTATGATTTGATGTTGGTGAAAGCTCTCTAAACTCTGGGATCTAGAGATTTCGTGGTTTGCAGCTTGTAGCTTCAGAGGGTCTCCTGTTTGTTTTATCACAGTGGCTTTGGGGTAAATAACCATCAAACCCGATCCCTGAACATTTTGAACAAGCGCTCTCCTTCTCTCTCTCTCTCTCTCTCTCTCTCTCTCTCTCTCTCTCTCTCTCTCTCTCTCTCTCTCTCTCTCTCTCTCTCTCTCTCTCTCTCTCTCTCTCACTATGTATCTATCATACATACCTACATACATAAATAAATAAACATATATATATATATGCACATACATATATACACAGATACATTCGTTCTAACTATATATGTGTTAATATATATATATATATATATATATATATATTGTATATATATATATATATAGTAGAAGATTATAGAGAGAGAGAGAAAGAGAGATTTGAAAGTAAATGCCGGTAAGCCCTTACATATCACAAACTCGCCTAATATTGCCTATGTATGTACACACGCCCTGTGTTGGCTAGCGCACCTCCTCGACACAGCCATAAGCGCAGATCCTGGCCTTGGCGTGCTTGCTCGTGTTCTGGAACCCGATCTACTGCTCCAAGAATCACGAGGCCGTGCACGAGCGCCACAATTGAGTGTTCGACCCCTGCACATGCAGCTATATTCCTCATGCAGCGAACATTGAATCTCTTGACGGTCAGCAACCGGGATGGGCTTGAAACCAGATTGGTGATGCACTTAGTGACACAAGGGGTGCGAAACTCTCGGTTGCATGCAGGGCTATGTCTTCATCGAGAGCTTTGCTGGGCACGCTGCCGCGACCAAGGCCGTGATGGAACGGTTCCCCTCGGTACAGACAGCAGCTTTCGATATTAAGTATTCGAAGAGTATGGATATAAATTCAAACGGGGGCATGGCGAGCCTTGTTTTAGCTCAGCAAGCTTTATATACCTGTATGTAGGTTGGCATTTGCAAACGTGAAAGGTTTTCATGCTTGTATGCCTGTTTCCGGCCAGGGCAATGCTGCTGGCTATCTTGAAGGGACACCCGGCTGGCTGGGTTCATTGGATGGGAGTTCTATGCTCTACATGGGTCCTGTTGAGCAGGGGGTCTACTGGCAGATGTGACATCAATCCGCATGGTTTGGATGATGTGGATTGTGTCAAGTCTGCAAACATTATGGCCTCGAGGCTAGGTGGGGCCCTGAAAAATCTCTGTTATCTATATAGACAGACCCATGTAACGAATTGTAACCCTTGCAAACCCTTTACTCCCATGTCCAACAGGTGTGCGCTACTTTGTATTGCGACCGTGGCTTTTGGCGGCACGTTTATCATCGAACAGCCTGGAAGTTCCATCCTTTTCAAGCACGATCGGCTACAACAACTGTGCCGCATCATGCAGGCGGCTTCGAATATGTATGCAGTCTTAGGCTGATGTAGATAAGGGAGTAGAGCCTTCAAAGTGTGAGCCAAGGCAATTCTTCGTGGGGACGGTGAGTCAGGGATGGTTAAACCTCAATTGTTTTAAGTATCCCAAACCAAGCCGAGTTGAACAATTATGTTTCGGGTCGGTGGTGTATGTACATGTAGCTGCTGTGGAAGGTGGCTCAACACCGATCCTACATCTACCGGTCCTGCACCCATTAATTTAGGGGTTTGGTATGGGCTTGGTGTACATGCGTACCTACCGACGCACAAATATACAGGCAGATACATGTGTACTTACACGTGTGCCCATAAACACAAGAGCACATGTACATACACAGACACACACACACACACACGAAACCTCACCTAAATGTCTGCACACATATCTTCATGCATGTATACACAGATTTCCATGCAGACATACATGCACACATAGATGCATTCGTGAGACATACATGGTGTATTCACCACATATAATCATATAAACTTTTTCTAGACCTCCAGACATTCACAGTCTATATATATATATGTATATATGTGTGTGTGTCTATATGTATATATATATATATATACATGTATATTTATATATATATGTATACAAACACATACATACATACATACATACACACAGCTGCATATACGGCATATACACATACATACATATCTATGTAGACTTGTCTGTGTATTTACACCTGCATATGTACTATATACACCAACTATATACACATACGTACATATATATGTATATATACACACACATATATATACATATACCTACATACATATACATACATATACATAAATATATATATATATATACACACTCTTTCTACACATCTATATATATATATATATGTATATATATATAGTATACTGCATGTTGATATACAGTTACATACATTCACATACATACATATATGCATACATGCATACCTACATACATACATACATACATACATACATGTACTTATACTTATACAAACACATATTATATGTATCCATGTACAGTCATATCCATGAACGCATGTACATGTACATAAACATACATCTACGAATGTTCCTAAAACTGTGGCATACCGTCGCGATATCAGACCTCACAATTCTCTTGCCGCTGTCGAAACCATAAAGCCTGAAGAACTGCTCGATACTTGCATTGTTCCCAATCCAAGCGAGCCCGCAGGTATGGAAAGTTGGTTTCTACATGGCGCAATATGGAAGCGCGACCCCAAAGCTGACGCGACTGTGGAGTTCAAACCCTGCCATCTGTCAGTTCTGGAGAGGAAGGTTTAACCTGTCTCGGTTCCAGGCCAAGACGACTCGCGGGAAGCCCAAGGTCCCACCTTGTCATCATTATGTGGACAAGGCTGGTGATAAAAAGTTCCATGGCACCAAGACGCTAAAGCAAACGGAGACCTGCACTTAGCATGGCTAAGTGGTGGCATGCACGGTGCAAGGGCTAGAGCAACCACTTCACGGTTATGATCGCTTAAATTGACCTAAGGAAGTACCCAATGCGGTTTGGAATGACGATTGCAGCCTTGCTCGAATCCCTGAAGCCGAATCAGCTACAACCTGAGGACCCATCAGTGGAAGCCTTTCACTTGTGGGACACATGGGTCTTCGAAGAGGACCACTGGTGTGATGCCCTGCTACCAGACTTGGTCAGGTACCTATATGGAGCTAAAGCTGTAAACATCCCCACAGGTTGGAAGGAACGTATCCCACGTGTTCTCTGATGCCACCTGTACAGAAGCTCAGCTCGTGCAGAAGAGCATGATATATGCAAATTAGATGGTGGCAAGTCTAGCTGTGATGATTGCACACAGGAAAGCTATGCTGATCGCCTGACATAATGCTAGCTTCTTGACGCTTGCATGAACTCTGTTGATTCCTCTGCCTGCATGCTGAGGGTTTGCCTTGCCGTCTGCAATAGTTTCCAGTTGCTCTCGTCTCCTTTCCGCACCCAAAATGTAGCTTCTATGCTGTCTGGGAACCTAGACGCCGCACTTTTGCCACCGCACGCCGCACTTTCCATGCCACACGCCGCACCTTCCGAGCCGAACGCCGCGCTTCCCGGCCCCAACGCCGCACACCCCACCCCAAACGCCGCACCTTGCGTGGAACGCCGCCGGAAAAAAATCCGGCCCCGGGAAACGCCGCACAACGCACCCCGCATAAAACAACGCCAGAACAACACCAACCCCGCATAATACAACGCCAAGTTGGTGTCCCCAGGATGTGTCCCCGTAGCTCCCACTCACATGCCGAAGCCGGGCGGTTCCCACCGCATATTTTGACCCTGCGCTGCGTGTGACCTCGAAGTTGTAGTTTTGGGTGTTGTGTGTTTCGCGTGTGCCTGCGGCATGAGCCAGAAGCCCGTGCACCTCATGTCACGGCAGTTCTCCTGTTCCTCGCTGCAATCAGCAGCTGGCTTGATGGACAATGCTGACTTGCTGGCAAATCTGCCCGATGATCCCAAAGAGTTGGCCGATCTCATCCAGGTCCCACCCCCAAGTTGTGCAAGTGATGCTGTTGTTTCGGGTGCTGAGAGGGTATGTCTTCATATATGTAGACTAGAATGACTGAATAGATGCAAGGGAGAGCACGCAGTTATGGCACATTGGTGGCAACAGTTCAACCAATGCTTACAAGCATATATAGAAATATGCATCTATATATATATATATATATATATACATACATATATATATATATGTATACATATATACATATACATATATATATATACATATATATATATATCCATCTATATAGTATACACACACACCTCCTAGATGCCTCCATCTTCCACCTCCCCAACGATACATATGTGCTAACGTAGGTCCTTCAAGCTGAATTACCCCGAAAAACACCAGAAAGCCTCAAGCCATCATACATCTGTGAAACTGATCGAGAAGTCCGGTAGGGTCCGGACAATGACGATGTACGTTCTGCGACTTTAAACATGAGACGGGGTTGCAGCGGACACGAGTGTACCGGAAGCATCCAGCTTCTACGGGAGACAGCATCTATCTGTCTGTACCGACCCATCTGCCCATCGATCGAACTATCTACCTGTCTATCTACTAATGTTTCTATCGACGTGATCATTTTCATCTACCTGTCTATCATTGGTCTACTGACATAGACATATGGCAATCTGTTTGTCTGTCTTTGTATCGAACTGGCTGTATGTTTGGTTGTCTGCCTGCCTGTCTGTCTGTCTGACTTTCTACCATGTTGTTTAACTATCTGCATATGTATATATATATATATATGTATATTATATGTATACGTATGTATCTATATCTGTAAATATGCATGTGTATATGCATGTGTATACATATATATATATATATATGTACATATATATATATACATACATAGATCAGCCTATGTATGGAACTCTCTATTTGCCTACCTAACCGTCTTTCTATCTATGTTTGATGTGCCGCTCAATATATCTCGATATGCCTATAGTACCTGCCTAGCTACCGAACCTTGCATTTGCGTCTGTTTCCATGTACTGTCTATATCGACCTATCTATCAATCCAACCATTTATCTATCTACCTGTACGTATCTACCAACCTATCTGTCAGACCCCAAGTCTATCTTTTTGTCTGTATATATGTCTATAACATAATATATATATATATGTATGTCTATCTGTCCATCTGTATGTCTATCTAACTACCGGTTGTTTACTTATAAGAAGTTGAAAAAGCAAGTAAACTTAGGTCTCTTTTGGTGGCACCGAAACTCGGCTGGTGCGCATGATGCTGGGCCGAGGGTGTTCCCGTAGCCACAAAATACGGGTGTTCATTTACATCAATCATTGATGTAAATGAACACCCGCATGTTTTACGTTCCCTCGGGCGAAGAACGGAACGTGAGTAAGTGGGCCCCCGCTGATGCTCATGGTGCTGGGCCTGTATATAGGTTGTTGACTTAGAAACATGTTATACATATATGTGTATATATGTATATATATATATATACATATGACAACATCACGAAAGGAGAGGGAGAGAGAAGAGAGAGAGAGAGAGAGTTTGTGTGTGTGTGTGTGAGCAAAGTAACTTGCCTGCAGGCAGTCAAGGCCCGGCAGGCCTCCACGCCTGACGCGGTGAAGCAGGAGCCGCAGGAGCCGCAGGCCCCTGACGAGCAGGATCAGGCATGTTGTGCCACTGCAGATCCATACGTTTCTAGTACGCAGGAAGCTCTAGGTTGCCTGTCTCGACCGTTGCAGTGAAAGCAAAGACGTTCTTCAGCTGGTGTTGATCCTAGCTATGCTGTTGATTAAAGATATTTCTACCTATATTGACAATAGCCGTAACCAGTTTAGGATTGTCCCAAGTTAATTATATTGATAGCTCAGACAAACGTCACGCTGTTCCGTGCCCCAGCTGCAAGGCCGGTATCCCAAAACCTCTATAATGAAACCCAGCGGAAATGAATGCATTTATATAGCTATACACATGCATGTTGGGTCTGAGGCGACTGTGGAGATTGCAGAACAGCCAGTGTGGCCGGACGGTGCTGTGATGGAGGCTCCCACACCGGAGCCCAACGGCATGACCGTTGACAGCGACGAGGAGTTCGATGATCCGGGAGCCTACTTCAGGGCTATGTCTGAGTTCCTAATGAAGGGCTTCTATGATTCCACCTCCACGTCGGCTCAGCCAAACCCGGAGCCTTGCAAGGCTGTGAAGTCCAAAGTTAGTACCCGCTAGCTGCTAGAATAGGTATATGTACTTACCCGAACCTTGTTCCATAGCCCCGAAACAAGGATGCTGCTGATGCTGGTTGCACGGCCTCTGTGGCCGCTGAAGCGGACCCGACAGACCCCAAGAAGCCTGCCAAAAGGCCGCACAAGGTGCTAGCTTTGATACACGATAAACATGAGTGTGCACTTCGACCTGGGACTCCATCCCTCCCTCGCTCTATCTCCATCTCTATACACCTCTATCTCTATATCTCTCTAGGTCTATCTTTATACACCTCTCTCTGTCTCGTTCTGTCTCCCTTCCTCTCTCACTGTATATATAACTGTCATGTTACATTGTATACCTCTATATGTCTCTATCTCTTTCTAGCCATATAGAAAACATTCCTATATCCCTATATACATGTCTCATGTCGCATATAACATTTCTATCTCTCTCTATATATATTTCGGTATACCTATCTCTATCAGCTCTATATAGCTCGTGTATTCTCTATCCTCTTCCCTCTATGTGTATATATATATAATCATGTCTTGTTATCTCTCTTCTCTGTATTATATAGAAAGATGTGTATATATCTGTCTGTCTAATTATCTATCTATCTATCTATCTACCTATCTCTCTCTCTCGCCTGGTCTCTGTGTCTATTCCAGGACCTGTTTACGGTCGGCAAGCACGAGCTGAACCAGAAACAGTACGACTTCTGGCGCGGCAAGTTTCGGCGCATGTGTGAACCCAAGCGAGACAGCGGTAAGATCGATATTCCGCCTGAACTGCACAAGCAGTACATGCAAAAGGGAACGCAAAGGGACTCCATGTTCGAGGCGTTTATCACCACCAATGGGGACAAGGAGCCCACACCGTGCATGTATGTTTATGACCTATGTATATGTAGATTGACACACTTCCCATTAAGGGGTTTACATCAGCAACGGATTGCTCTGTGCTTGCATCTGCTTGTACTGACAGGAGGCCTTCATTCGCAAGGTCAAGATGACGAAAACCACCGAGAACACCCGCGAGCTAGAGGAGGAAGGAGGGTTTTACACCAGGAAGGAGATGAAAGACATTCTGGGGTGGGACAAGCCTTCCGACTGCATGCATGATAATCAGGTTGTATATCCATGTTTAGGGTATGTCGTACTGCGATGTGCCCCGGAGTTGCTTGGATAAGTAGAATGCTAGCTAAGGCCCAGGATCGAGAAGCAGGTCAAGAAATGCGAGCTCAATCCCGAGGAGATGATCTTGCTACATGCCTAATAGGTTTAAGCTGGCACACTCTACTAATTAGTTAACTAGTGTAAGCACGGCAGTGGTATGCTACCCAGGCTGGATGACGAGGATGCCATAAACCACGAGTACTGGTGCCGCGAGAGAGTGCGTGGCCGCAAGAAGATGAAGCAATCCCAGATGCTGGAAGAGTCTGTGGAGGCTGCAGGGGCTAGTGATGCCTTCAACATTGGCGGCCTGGAAAATTCCATGACCCCGGCAGCGCTGGGCATCCCTGCCGCCACCAACGCAAAGCTCGAGGAGCCAGAATCCGAGGCCTTGATATGGAAGGGGTTAGGAGGGGATTAATATAGGTTGTGTGTTGGGGCGTTGGCAAAATGGTCACAAAGACTTTCGAAATCGGATCCTCAACCATTTTAGCTACATGCAGGTTACAAGTGCTGTAGGTTTGCAACTCTGTTTAAGTGAGTGCCTGTAGCGTTGCAGTGTTCAGCTCCCTGAAATATGCTTACATGTGCATTGTTGTGCCAGGCTAGCCAGCTCAACACCGCGATGAAAGACTTGCTGACTTTCATGGAGAAGATCGACACCTTTGTGAAAAAGTTAGCTGATGTCATCGGAGATGACAAGAAAGAAGCTGTGATAGAGCCCCTGTCCCAGCTGTAAAGAGCTACATAGAATGGACATAGATCACATGCTGATTAGAAGAGTGGTGCATCGCAATTGTGTTGGGTCGGGCTGTGCAGCCATCCTCCAACGCCTATAAACGAATTGCTCAGGGCCCGGACATCGCTCCAGAGCCTGAGGGATCAGATCTCGTCTCAGTATGACAGCCTCAGCAAGATGAAGATTGACTCGGATGTGAAGCTAATCGACCTGGGAAAAGACCCGCCACTCTGCTTGTTGTAGCTCCATGATGAAACACACAAAGTGCGACTAAGTGGGATATAGGCTTTGTTTGTTTGGCGTCGTTTGCAAATCTCAGGCACCAAGCGAAGCTGCAGCAACTTCTTGTTGCTGCGAAGAAGTCGTCAGAACCCCAGTGGTGCGTATTATCGGTTTTGGATGGACTCCGTAATTGAAGATCCTATGCAGGGCCATTGCCTGGTCAACCATCGAGCGCAAGCACAGGCACCAATCTTAAGTTGCGTCGGCTCACCATCTCAAACCGTGGCTGTGATATAAATCTGACCTGTTCTCAGGGGCCTTCTGAAAAAGCCCAAAGCCAAGAAGGAGACTGACCAGCAGTGACCCGAACCTTCTGAGCTGTCTTTCACTTCGATGCTTGATCGTGCTGATCTAGCAGGCTGTGCTTAGCTGCCTAGCTCCCTAGCTACATTTAATTACATGTGCCTTCACACATAGCTTTCGCAGCGATGTGTGCACCCAGCAAGATTTGGGGCAGGCCGGCTCCTGGCCTCTGGGATGAGATGAAAGAGTGCGTTCTACAGAGCGTTGATATCATGATGAAGGAAGCCTCAAAGCCGACAACAACGCAAATTCCTTGAATGCCTGACAACCTTCAATCAATACACTCCCGCATGTATTGTTCCCACACCAAGCTTAAGACGCCACACGCTATCGAAGCCTATATCCTGCACCATGGAGGGTACGACCTGTGAACCTATGGGCGCAATCATATGCAGCTATATAGGTCCCTGGAAAAATTGAACCCGAAGTTAGCCCTCCCTAACTACACCGAAAACTTGATGCCAGGTGAATCCGACGAGACAGCTGAGTTCATCGCTCGGTCTGTCGGCTCTGGTGTGCCAGCCTGATCCGCAGAAGATCGGAGTATTGTTAACGGGCTTATAATGTTCAAAGCACCCTGCAATTTCCGTCTAACAGATTCTAACACCCCAATAGAGCCCCACAAGGTGAGTTAAACCTCAACTAAATTCCTAAGTCCTAGAATGTTTAAGGTGGCCGCTAAATGCAGTCCTTGTGCGTATTGAATGGTTTTGGTGTTGCTTGATTGGTTCCTTTGCCGGGTCTTTTTGGGTTTAGGGGTGTTCCTTCAACCCCCTGAGGGTGCTAATAACTTTCGAGCTCCAGAGGTTTGTAGGGCTGTTCTTTGAAGGCTCTTCAAATGTGTCGGGCTGTTCTGTAAGGGTTGTATATAGGGCCTGGAAGGGTCTAGGGCTTTGGTATTTTCGTTCAGTTGTTTTCACATTCTGCGCTCGATCTGGGTTCATTTCCAGTCGCTCTGTTGGCGGGCTCTGATAACGACGATTCCTGCTCCCAGGGCAACCACAACCCTAAACTCAATATACAGTGCCTATATACACACATATATATATATATATAAACACAAGTCGATCTTCGAACCCTGAGCCTTGTAGATGCGACCTGAATCATGCTGGGCACTTCTTCGTAAGGGCTTAGGGCTTTGGGCTGCTTCAGGTTAATGCTGCAGGTGTGATCCTTGCGACTTTAGAACCTAAACCCCAACCTGAACCGACGGCCCACTGTGCCATCACTTCTTCGTGGCTTCTACTTAATACTAAAACTTTCTACGTCTTTCACAACCCCTAATACGCACCCGTGATTTACAGATATATAGTTCGATATACTATCTAAACCCTAAACCCTAAACCCTAAACCCTAAACCCCTAAACCCTAAACCCTAAACCTGGGGATCGAACTTGGGATGTAGGGAGAGGTTGGGTGGGAGCTTCGTTGAGGAGTCCCTCGTAAGTCGACTGCTACTGCTATGTATTGCTATATACTGCTATACTGCTACTACTGCTACTGCTGTACTGCTTTGTAAAGTATGAGACTACGTTGCAAAGAATGCAAGCTGGGGGGGGACCCCAATAGTTTGCAATTGGCGAAGTGTGATTTGCCAAAGTTTGCCAAAGGAACCATGGCTTCCTGCTGTGGAAGTGCACGCTGGCAAAGAGCCAGAAGCATAGAATAGGAGCACTTGGTCGGAGGCGAGCCTCATCGACTATGACACTCATGCCGCTCCTTTGGACCCCAGTCCCTGACCGTGAAACCCGAAGGTTGCATCATTCTGCACGGGATCCAGTGTCGGGCAATGGCGCTTTCACTCGCATCCACTGTTGGGATATTCTCAGCGAGCTTAACCTCCGCGAGCTTGCCAAGCTGCAAAGCTCCAGCCAAATCGACAGGCTGATGCGTGATAGTAAAAAAAAAAGCTACTACACTACTATACTGCAACTACTACTACTATACTGCTATACTGCTACAGTACTTTGCTACGGCGACTGCTAGTATTACTGTTGCTCCCGTGGTGCTTACAACTTAACCCCGAGTAACCTACCTTTTTAAGGAATTATATAAAGAAATCCTATTAGGTAACCCTAATAGGTAGTGTCCTTAGGGTCCAGGTACTGTATATGGTGTTGCAGTCCCATGTAGCTGCCTTAGCCTACATCGACAGCTCTGTTTGTCGATATGCTTGAAGCCCTGCGAAAGCCTAAGAAACCTGGCCTATACAAGCCTTTTCGAAGCCCTCCCCAACAACCTTCTGCACTCCTAGGTATGTACTATTTCTATATATATACATATATATATATATATATATATAGAGTATAATAGTACATACCTAGGAGTGCAGAAGGTTGTTGTATAGTAATAGTATTCTGGTAAAGTATGTAGGACGTGCTTGAGAGACCGTTGGTAAGCAGTTCCGATGGAAGCACTACAAAGGCTTCTTCCAGCTATACCTTAACCCCGAGTAACCTACATTTTTAAGGACTTATATAAAGAAATCATATTAGGTAATGGACCTATTCCTTGTATGTCGGTGCTTATACAAGTACATCCGCATCTTAGATTTTTTACTCATGCGGGTACATGTATACTATATGCCTATGTACAGGCACGTCTGGGTATGTGCGTGCATACATATAAACACAATATATACCCATGTATGTACATAGTAATAAAATGTGTGTGCATTTGTTTGTATGTATGTATGTCCATGCAAAGGCATACACATACGCACATACACACATATACATACATGCATGCATGCATACATACATAGTTATAACCAAACGATGCCCAAACCTATGCCCAATAATAACACAAGCCTCAAACTCAACTCGAGATCCGAGCACCTCCCCTCCGCTCTGAGGTGCCCTGCAGCACGGTCGTTGATCTGGCGAAAGCAGTGTCGAAGGTTGGAGGCTCTAGCACCTGCAAGGCCGTGAAGGAAATTTCCAAAGCGAGAACGAAAGATGCCGAGAAAAGTGTTCACAAGGTTTTGGCAAAGTACAAGCTAGCGCTGCCGATACCTCTGAGTCCAGTCGAGGGTACAACTGCTCTGGATGGTTTTCCACGTCTTAAGCCACTACATTTCTTTCAGCACATGCTGGAGACAGGGCACCTGAACAAACTTCTTGGGGGCAAATCGCTTGCATCTTCTGGTCCGATGCTTACAGAGTTCTGGCGAAACTACAAGTGCTCTTACCCCGACTTCGAGTTGTACGAGCATGTGGACGGGAAGGCTTATGGCGATGGCCCTCCGGTGGAGCTATCCTGCTGCATCCCGATATATGCACACATAGACGGCGGGAGAGGCTACAAGCGATCAGAGTTTATGGTTTTCAATTGGTCAACGGTCTTTGGGCATGGCACGGGGAAAGCCAACCGCAAGGACCCTTCTGTGCCTATCAAAAGGAAAGCAAAGAATCCGCAAGTCGGTTTGCTTGGTCATTCGTTCTTGACACACTTTTTATACTGTGCAATGCCTGCTTCCATGCACAAACATCGAGAATCCGATTTTCAGGAGATGCTGCAAATTTATGCCATGGACCTCCGGGACTGTTTCGACACCGGCGTGCAGCTCAAGAATGGCTCAAGGCTGAGGCTCGTTCTACTTGGCTTGAAAGGTGACCTCAAGCTCCAGGCGACTGCAGGGCGCTTTACGGCTTGGTACAGCACTGCAAGGAAGAAGGCTTATAACCCCAATGCTCGAAAACCACAAGCATCGGGGCGATGCTGCCCGTGGTGCCCTGCGGGGGACACCCAAGCTCCTTTTGAGGAGTTTCACAGTGAGAACCCGGCCTGGAAAGTGATGAAGCAGCAGCTGCAGGAGCCACCACCTTGGTCCGCACCAGGGGGCATGCTTGGGCCTTCACTGGGCTACGCCAAGGATCCCACCCAGTTCTATTTTCCAGATCTTTTTCACATCTATTTGATGGGTATCGGACAAGATTTCGGCTCCTCAGGTCTGGTATATCTGTTGGGAGTAGCCTTCAAAGGCCCCGTTGGAAGCAACAAAGTTGAGGACCAGATTGAGGTGTTGAACCGGACATTTACAACATGGAAACAGATGTTTAAGGCATCAGTACATCTCACTGCCTTCACCAAAGGCACCCTCACCTTTCCGGACTACAGCACGTTCCCTGCAGGCACGTGGTCGAAGGCAGGTGACACTCCCCACATCATCAACTTCATGGAGTATGTGTGCAGTTTGTGGAGTGAGCTCTACCGGGAGGACAAGATGATCTTCTACATCAAGGAGGCATGCACCGCCATTGGAGAGTGCATGCGCCGGCTGTACAATGCCGATCTTTGGATTGTGCCGGGGCTGGAAATCTAAAGTAAGTTTGCATTCGATCGAGCAAAGTTTCAATCCTCTATGTTGCATTTTAAAACGTATCCATACCAGTATATACATGTAGACTCATAAATACCATAACCTATTACTTACCAGGTTATCATCACTTGACACGTGTTTTGCATGATTCATGTATGTTGCCCTCGGCCTCGTCGTCACTCCTTGCTGTGTTTCTTCTTATGTGCCACGGACCTGTCGCTCGCTCTTTTGTTTGCTTTTGTTGTTTCCTGCTCTTTTTTTTCTCTCTCTCTCTCTCTCTGCCTGTTTCTTTCTTTCTTCCTCGCATTGCTCCCTTCGGATGGCAAGCTCGGCTACAGCACAATACGCACAGCACACCTTGTGTTAGGATGCACTGGTCTTATTGAATGTTGGGGGGCTCTTATGTTGCATGTGCCAATTCCGGGGTCTAAAAGGTATAATCTTATATGCGTTGGTTCTGTATATAGTGGTTGTGTTGTCTGTTTCGGCCAGTTTGCATTCGGCATCAAGTCGTCGAATATAAGCACCCTACAGCCAGGATCCAACCGAAGCCGGCCAGATTGCTGACCGGGCTATGCGCTTCATGCGGCTTTATGTGAAGCTGGCTACAATCTCTGCAGAGAGGGGCAGGCATCTCTTTGCCTATCGGCCGAAAGGGCATTACTTCCATCATCTGATTCTCACGCTCCGCTCCGCATCTTTATCTGGCCATCCAAGTCTGAACCCACTTGCGTACAGTTGTTCAGCAGCTGAAGATTTCATTGGAAGGACAAGTATGCTAAGCCGACGAGTCAATGCGAGGACCGTGCAGTCACGAGTATTGGAACGATACTTAGCTGGTGCAAGCTACGTATGGTCGTCGCATGAGGTTTGATCTCGATCATGCGAAGAAGTTGAGCTCCCGGCGGAGTCGCACGGCGGCCGCGAGCGCAAAAACGCCCCCGAGAAGCCTTGCGCCCCTCCACCCGATATCCCCCATATAATACCCATGAATGTATGATCCGCCAGTTCGACTGCTTCACTCGCATGCAGGCTGGGTCTGCTTCAATCAACCACGTATGTAATGGAACAGCATGCATGTATTGCGCCTTCAAACCTCTTATCGGCCAATGGTAATATAGGTACAATGCTAGGTAGAATCATGTACCTGGCAGCTTAGCGCCTGCTTTGGCTTCCCTCCTAAACAATGCTTCTGTAAGAGGCGTCCTTACAACTATGCGGTTTTGGATCTTCACAGTCGCCACTGTGCAACTTAACATATGATCTCAGGAGGGAATTTGATGCTTTTGGGTTTGGACCAAATTTAGATATATGTGGTACGCCTAATAATTATTCGTCCTCGGATTTTTGGACGTGCCCAGAGGGGCCAGGTAAGTATCTACTATAAGGGTACATGGAGCCTTGGGGTTTGTAAGCTTTAGAAGCGCCAAGACGAGCTGGCGCCACTCGCGGATGTGCTGCGTCTCAGGGGTGAGCCCCATCTGCTTCACTTTTCGCGAGACGCCTGGGGCAGGTCCCGGCTCGGTTGGGTTGACAGGGTTTCTTTTAGCTGCTTCTTACGAATTATCATAACCATGGATTAAAAATCATTTGTAAGTAACCCTAAGGTTTAGGGTATCATCAACCGTGGACCCTCCAATGCAGGGGACGCAAGGTTTCGTTATGTTTGGGCCGCAATATTTGGAAGAAGTCTCCTTGAAAGGGCTTATAGAAGGTGTTCTCTAAAAGAGGGATGTTGTGGGCTTGCAGTATGGTTGCTTGAGTATCTCGAGTGGGGTTTTGGGTATGTCGCAGAATGTCACAGCATCGCTTGCAAAATAAGGTGCACTGAGGAATAGTGTTGGCAAGTGGTTGTATGCCATCTGCCCCTAAACCTGAAACCTTAAACGCTAGATACGGGAGTTAAGGGCACGAAGGGGGTCCTGACTAAGAGCCTTTCAGTATCGAGAATCTCGCAAACATGGGACTAAGTAACTTGAGCTATAAATCAGGTAACTCTACATATAAGTACTTATAATCCCAATTAGGGTGCTTATAACCTTAGTTACTGAGTCCCCTGATCCTCCAAGAATTACCCTAAACCCTAAACCCAAAGATCCCCCTTTAAGGAACCCTCTAGATCCCTTTAAGGAGCCCTTTAAGAACCCTAAACGCTAAACCCTAATACTCCAAGGAGGGCATTGGGTGCCAGCTCAAAGCTAGTCCTGGCCAGAGTCAACGGCGACTGCGTGGTATAGACCGTGAACGCGGAGCTTGAACTATAGTAGAAGCCGAAGCCAGAAAGTTGGAATATCATTATCGTAACCCATGTAAGGTAAATTATAGGGGATCCTACCATGAAACCATATTCCAACTTTCTGGAGTTCCCCTTATATCAAAAGGAATACTACTGCGGATGATATAAATCCTGCATAACGTCAAGGACCCTAAAGTATGGGAAGAACAAATATTCCTCATTGTGGGTAATGCAGGTTTCATATCATCAACCGTATTATCAATATACCTTAAATCATAAAATTAAGGCCTCTGTAAATTAAGGTATATTCCTCAATTAAGGGGTATTGGGTTCTCTGGGGACTTAGTATTCCATGTTTGGGGGCCCTAGGCCCTGGCCCAAAAAAGGGAGGGGTCTGAGGCCCAGACGCTGCGCCCGCTGGTAGTTCTCGGTGGAACCTTGGAATATTCTACTTTTTCATGAGCACCTCCTTACTTAAAGGATCAAGGGACTTAGTAACTTTAAAGGGTTCCGTAAAGGGTTCCTATACGGGATCTATAAGGGTTTAAGGTATACTCCTTACAGAAACCCCCATCACGGACGCCAAGTGTCCATGCTGGTGCTGCTGCTGTACCAAGTTATAAGCAAGCGCAAGAGCTTCAGTTTAGGATTCCCTAACAGTTGGAACAGGGTTTTGATACTCATTGCAATCACATGGGGACTACGGGTAGCACTAGTACCGACTCTTCCTACTCCTAGACTTATCTTTGGTTAGTAGGGAACCGAGGAATGGGGCAGAATTATAACTACTGTTGCGATTTTCTTTGACATGGCCTCCTCTTCAATACGATTGATTGAAATACCATCACCCTGCTTGTACTGTTGCTGATTACTACGATCCTTCCATGCCTTACTAACCAAAGGTAAGTAGAGTACCGACTGAACTTCGAACCCCCGGCGATGGCAAGCAGCTTAAAGCTTCCGGACTCCCTTGGAACTGCTTAAAGGATCACGGGACTTAGGGACTTAGTAACTAGGGCTATATATAAGATAACTCTACTTATAGTTACCTATAACACCAAATAGGTACTTAACCTTACTTACCAAGTCCCCTGATCCTCCAAGTTGGATTGCTTTGCGAGGAGTGCCAGGAGTGCACAGACTAATCTCGACCCGTACCCGTCGGATTGGAATTTATATATGGTCTGAATAATTACCCAATAGTATCCTCCCATAGTCCCTCATACTTATCTGTATATATATATATATACACACACACACACCAGAGTTGTGCCCCTAACTACCAAGGGCCTAGTGGTATTCACCTCTGGTTCTTCTGGTTAAGGATTGATCCTCCGAGCCTGTAGCGCCCAAGGCAAGAGTAGTTGACCTGCTCCTCTCTTTCTTTCAGTCGACTACTCGCATGCTGCCGGCCGGGTTGGGGTAGGTATGGCAGGTCTCAGTTGCATGCTCCTGAGCCTGAGCACTCGCACTTCGATTTTTCAGCTCTCAAAGCCCTCGATCCCAACTCAATTGCAACACCTGAGGAACTCCGTGCCGATCTGCAATCTTTACAAGTGTACATTGCCTACCCAGCAGCCAGTGGTACAGCCGGCCAGCAGTCAAGCGATGAAGAACAAAAACACACCCAACGCCCGTGCCCAGGACCTCCCCCAAATCCCAGACTGTGAAAACCCTCAACCCCCAAATCCTAAAGCCTAAACCTTAAACCCCTAAATCCGGATTTAGTCGCACTCGCTCGGATTGTCTGCAGACTGCTTAAACCCTTAAACCTAAAGAGGGAAACACACTTGAGTAGGCTGCTGCCAGGTCTGGATGTCCTCGGTGTTCCTGCGACGTTTTGGGGTTCTCCGGAGACGACGAACGAACCATCGATGACGCGGAACGAGTACCAGTAAAAGAACCTGAAAGGGCTTTGGGAAGTTTATGGTTTGGGGTTTTGAGCTTGCAGTTCAGGGTTTGGGGCTTAGCTTGGGGTTTAGGGTGCCTACAATGGGCGAGAACCCAAGCTTTATCTTGGCTGCTGCTTCTGTCATGGCATGTAGTCTTCTCACTGCGAGGAATGATCGTGTTTCCTACCTAATCCAAGATGCTGAAAACAACAAACAAGCATTCCCTGACGCTCCATGTGCCCATGTAGTACATGCTTAGGCCTTTAAGGGGTTCCTATATGTACTACTTTACAGCCTACAAAAAAGATATGTACACACACATATGCTATATATAGGTAATGGAGCCTAAGGATTGCCGGAAATCCCAACACCCCCCAAGATTGCATCACCTCGGATGCAATTTCAGAAGACCAACAGCACTTAATAGTTAGAATACGGCTTGGCTCCTGTAAGGATTAACTACCATAAGGAACTCCAGGAATAATGTTGGCAATCAAGAATCACGTAGGCTTCTATACTACAGACCGACACACCTTAAATCTGGACCGCTCAATCCGGGCAGACCTCTGGCATCACTTCGAATCACATCCTCGAGAGACATGGACAGCTTGTCCTGCCAGTTTAGGGTTTAGGGATCAGGGTTTGGGGCTTTTGGTTACAGTGTCGTCACCTCATTGCAGCATTGCCGCCCATGCCTTAAAGCCTTACAGCCTATAGCTCCAGGGCCCCAGCTGTCGGCTTGACTGTCGGGTGAGACTGCAGGGCACAACGGCACAGAATCCCCAAAGCGCAGCGGTCAGGGCTACGTAGAAAACACCCTACTTGGAGGGGCAGGGGACTGAGTAAGTAGATTATAAGTAGAGTTATAAGTACCT